AGGCCAAGCACATATTTATTAGCATTCATAAATAACTTTCAATTCAGAGAGTCAAAAGAAGTTGACGTGATGGATTTCCAACAATTTTGTTGTAAATTTTACTTTGGTATATTCCTTTTGAAAGTTGTGCGATAGAATCTTTTTAAATGAACTTGGTGTTGCGCATAACAGAATTCTGATGAATCAGACTCAATTAAACTGTCGTGTATCCATGTGCCAACACCTGATTTATGCAGCAGGCATTATCACTTCTTGGAAGGCATTATCAAATGTTAATACATGGTCACATGACGTGTTTGGACCAATAGGAATAGAAAATCGTCCCAGGTATTTATGAATGTTTATTAAAACATAGGATCCAGAAGCATGGTTTCTGAAAGGGTTGATGGATATCAAACCACCAGAATTCTTCTCCTGATATTGCTAGGCCATTGCCGATCACATCTTTATCACTGAATAGGGTCTGCCCATTTTATTTTATTGCAGTTTCGTCATTTTTTCAAGAAAGATTCCACCCGCAATGTATCGGATGAAGATCGTTATGCTGTAACTATCAGTGGAGATATCCAAGGTAATTCTGAAGCCAATGGTAATGCAGACAGGATGGATAATGAGCCACTGGCTGATGGATCAACAGGTAATTTGTCTGCAGGAAAAGTAGCAGAGTTCTCAACATCAGTTGTATCAAGTGACGTCCAGTCCATGCAAGCCATTTCATCGGCCACAGAGAAAGCCTAGATTGGACTTAGAAATTGAAGGTAATCATATGAGGTTGGAGTCAAGGATGCCAGGAGTCCTGGAGGGGAAAACAAAATGGGGAAATAATATTCCCACCACAAACTTAATTCCAAGATTTAGAATTACTCCAATTCAGTGGTTCAGTTTCCTTTTCTTGAATTTCTCCCATCTTAATGTTGTGTTTTATTTATGCGCAGTGGTAAAGTATTGCTGTCAAGGTGCTAGGCACACCCTGAGGCTGTCAACCTGTCATGGCAGCGCCGTCCCCCAAAATCCTGACTTACATAACTCACAGGGTAGTGGTTTAATGCGTAAGGCTAAGGCATTCAATCACAGTTTCATGCAGTTGTACAACACCTGCATAAATCCCCGTCATCTGATTGGTGGATTGTTGATTACATGGCATTGAATTATTTGTACCAACACACAGCTGGCGCACGACGCTCTCGTGACGTGCATGCAGATTGCAAAAAATTGATAACAACTGTGCATTTGAAACTAATAACCAACACCTCCGGATGGATTCACTGCAGCTTCTAGTGGTGCAAGTTTCTTTATGGCAAACATGGCAAGCAATCAAGCTCTGCCGTTCACAATTCTACAAAATAATTATAAGAATTTGCTTTTGTAAGTAATGCTGATGCTGCCAACATAAGGAAACAGATAAAAATGCTGCCAAATATTTAGATGATGGATTCGCAACTGGACAACTTCCAGTTTGAATCAGTTAATTAATTAATCCAGCTGTACTCAGAAAAATCAAAAGATGAGAATTTATACAGGTGTTGTATAAAACAAATGATGAATGTTTCGCATTTGTGCAGTGGTAAGAATAATTGCATTTGGAGACAGATGAAATGGCCTATTCCACTTAGCTTCGCCTTGTGGATTACAAAGTTTCATCTGTCACCTCATGCAATTCTTACCTTTGCACTCATAAACATTCATCATTTGTATATTTTCACCAGGCCTCGACAAATCACCTCAGCTAGCCCGGGGCAATCAAATTTTCATTCGGGCAATTATAATTCGGACTAGCTGTACCTGTTCGGGCAAGTCCAGAAAAGCTTACCTCCATTAGTAAACCAATTGCTTTATGTGCGAAAGTTTAACTTTGAAGATCAATTATTATTCCAATGTGATAAAGAATAACAAAAAATTCCAGTTGTGTTTCAGTCCTAAGTGCCAACTTCACCCCACATTGCCCCATGCATATGTATGACATTCCAATAACCACAGCTGCCACCAATGTTAACACCATTTTCTCTCAGCTGATCGGGGTTTCCGACTGACCCTAATTTTTTGGTGTGACCCTAACATTTTTATCAGCAAGTTAGAAAAACCAAAATAAGAAAAAAATAAATGAATAACAAAAATCCTGATGTCTTTTCTGTCGTCACAAAACACCTTTCAACAACTTTTTCTCACGTTAGAATGTTTGTTTTTATGTGTTTTCCTACTTACATTTATAATTTTTGAAAAGAAACTTCCGAGTTTGCATTTGTGTTTCACTGTCACTGTGGCGAGAACACCAGTGCAAAGCTCAATGCATTAAACGAAGCTGTGCTATTCCCGCTGCACCCATGCAAAAGAAAACATAATGGAAACATGGCAACCAGTCTACACATGTATTGTACGTTCCAGTTGGTTACTCTACATTGACCATATATGCACACAACACTCAAGCTACAGGTTGAAAAAACATCGATTTTGAAAGAGGTTTTCTGTAAGTTAATTCACAGAACTTGGTCTGGGTTGTTATGCTCGTACTTGAAGCGAGGGTTTTTCAACAAATTTCCTGCTGCTGCACAAGGTTTATCGCCTACTGGTCTAGATGCATCACGCACGCTTACCATGCGATACAGGGACATTATCGGCGAGTTTACTGTCCTGATTGCCTGAGTAGCCCTGTTTGAATTGTCCATAATTCTTGTGAATTGTTGACTGCAGAAATTTTTACATAGATTAAGACAGGTTTTCATTTCTTGTTGAGAGAATTACGGAAGCTTTCATCCCCATTCATGCCATTCAATCAGCACAAAAAATTGACCCCCCTCTCCCGAATTCCACCTACTGACCCTATTTTTGAGAGGCATGTAATCGAAAACACAGCTATTTTTCGGGCCTAATTAAAGACTGCATCCATGCTGTAGGCCTAAGTTAAATAACCATAATAATGATGGATTCCGATAAATTTTGGGCAAGTGTTGATCCAATCTGAGCAAGCAAGTTTATGGCATGGCCTGCCCGATTGGGGAAGCTAAATAAAACATATTCATCGTGGCCTGAACATCACTCGGTAATGAACAGTATTTGTAAGATTTAGGGCTGTGCGGAATATCCGAATATTCAATGAATTATCAAATTTTTGAATATTATTTTTGCGAATTTAAATTTGAATGCAAAATTCATAAAAAGGAAGGGAGAATTTTCTTATGTTTTAAATGAGAAAAATTGCACTATGGAGGCTTGTTTCACGCTGATTCAAATGTTAAGCGACAGAAATCTTACGACTCAAAAAGCAAATTATTCACCCTTAACCACTTGCTGCCAGGTACTTTTACAATTGCAGTGCACATATATGGGAGATTTTAAAGATTTTCAGTTTTCAAAATTCTTCAAAAGTTCATCATTTCATTTAATGGACATTTACACCAACACGAATGACTGTTTGGTGCTACTCTAAGCTGACAGGTAGCCTTCTCTGACTCCTGAGTATTTCAGCCAGGCCTACCGCCCTGTAAAGAGAGCCCAGAATTATGAGGTCTTGCGTAATTTCCTTTGTCCCCAGTGAATGCGAGTACTGTCTTTTGTTTAATACACGGACCAGCTCTTTTGTCTGATTTTGAGCAGCCCGGCTCTGCGTATAAACCCATGGTGCTCGAAACGGTGTTCTAAGGCAGCAAGTGGTTAACAGTTCCAAATCCTCCGATTTTAATATGATTGTAGATACACCCTAGGGGTTAGGGTTAAACAATTTAAAAGGAATAGAAATTTTAAACAGGGCAAGAACTTTTGGTTGTCTCTTAAGTCTTGCCAAATCATGGCTGGAGATACTTCTAGAAGTGAGAAGCTATTATAGTGATTATCATGTACAATTGTGTGCGTTAGTGCAACTGATTTTGTATATGGTTTAATCATCAACAATCTGCCAGTCGGTAAGACCGAATATTCGGATATTTGATCGAATTGAAGCTCAAATATTTGAATAGTGAATTATTTGAATTGACCCAGCCCTAGTAAGATTATTCAGTAATGCACTTATTTGTCTTGGATGTGATGACGTGATATCAGATTAAACTGAATTGAAAAATCATAAGCTACATGGATAATTGGGGAGAAAAATATATGATGATTGAGATCTAATGCCTTCTTACTACAGGATTCTGCTTATACACAAATGTTCATTGCAGTGTTTTTACCACTGTGTGGTACGCAGGTATGTGAACTGAGACTCGAGGTGGTACTTAAGCACATTACTTGTATCTCCACTCTACTTTGGTTCTAAACACACTTGCGAGTCCATCGAAAATGAATGTCAAACTTAGTTCGTTAGACATCTATGCAATTTACCTGTAGATTTTTGTTTATTTTGGGGGCGGTTTTAACTAGAGCCAAGTCACAGTATTGCTTAGATGAAATGTGAAGCAAAACACCAAAGAAAATAAGATACATGCCAAACATTTATTTTGTGGTCATGCATGTCATATCAACGAAAGATGTCTCCTGTTACAAAATGTGCCACTAGATTACGCTTTACCATCCAGTAACATACAATGCGCACTGCTTGGAATATTTCAGAATATTTATCAAAATTGGTATTTCATGTCTTCAAACCAGTTATAGTTTTCAGTTTTTAAAAAGTGTGCTGTGCACATGTGCATCCAATGAAGTAGTTATAGGTTTACTTACAAGGATTATTGGTAATTAAGTGTGGCCTTGTGGAAATTCCACTGTCATGATTGATGCAATAAGGGTAGTAGCCAGATGTCCATGTAAAGGCCGGTCGGTTCATACTGTGAACGAAAGGGAAATGCGACTTTTTGACATCAGAACAAATATTTGCGTTGCGAAGTTGCAAAAGGCAAACACATTTCAACTCAAGCAAAATTTCTGCAAAGTTTTTGTAATGTCATATCATGGAGGAAGGACACAAAAGGAGTTACAACTCTGGCACATCAAAGTGCTCAATGATCATCGCCTCCCAGTCAGACGAACAATAGTAAACATTCCAAAAATGCCTGATTACTGCCTGCAGCTTAACCGGACAAGTGGGGCCAGTAATATGGTAACAATATTTGTGGTGTTTTCTTTGCAATTAACTACAACTTATCATAGTGACTAGGAAATAGAAAGAACACATATCTAACATTAGATTTACTATTACTGTCATGAATGATATTTAAAGATATTGTTGCACTTTTCCATTATCCATGCAATGTTTGTAATTTGATTTTGTCACTCCAAACAAGTCTTTCTACAAATTTGGCTTAGACTGGCCAACAACATGTTGACCACCACAGGATAGTTAAGTTCATAACAAACAAAATGCGCTATTTCATCACAAGGAGTGATCATGAGATCTCATAAAATACCTTTTTGTATAACTACCGTAATAAAAATGATTCAAATATCTTATAAACAACTTGGCTATTTATTCCCAAAACAACTCCAGAAGAAAGCATTCAACAAGGGCAGTGACTGCACATGAACACTTACGGCACACAGCTTAATACAAGCAACTGCGCAAGCATTAAATTTGATGTTGTTTTCGGATCATACCAAGCACCATCGATTGCATGAATATTCAACTTCTTATACCGCAGTACACAACGTCTTAAGGATGCATATTACCAGCAAAAAATTTTGGTGATGATTATGGGGTAGAAAGGGGGCTTATGGTTGTGAAACAGGTGGTGCATAGCAAGCAGTTGCTGCGCTCTGGCTATGGACCTACATGTACCAGGCATGCCAGAAAGTGGTAATTGGCCAGATGTTATAGCCCGGGCAGTTCAAACTCCTTCTGTGTCCTTCCTCCATGGTCATATTTACTTTGTTTTTGCATTAACTTACAGTATGAACCGGCCTTACCATTCACTTTTCTCCCAAGGTATGTAATAACAGAGGGAAAATGTCAAGTGTTCTGGGGATCACTGAGTATGGTTCTACTCTGAGACAAGTTAAAGCAGTCTCTTTCTGTTCTTGAATCACTTCCTGCCGGGGCAGTTATCAATGTTGATGATGATATTTATCATTTTTTCTGTTTTCAAAATTCTTTAAAAATTCCTATCTTCATTTACTGCACACTTACACCCATGCAAAGAATTGTCTGGTCTCCACTCTAGCTTGACAGACAAAATCTGTTGACATCCGAGTATTTCAGCCATGCCTGCAGCCTTGTAAAAAGAGCCTGGATTGTGCGGTGTTATATAACTTTCTTTTGTTCACGAACCTGGCACAGTGCACTGCTGAGCTCTTTTCAATAGGGGCCAGATTAGCATGCAGCGGTGCTGCGTGGTTCATCGCTGCAATGGTGGAGCACTTTTGTCCCCGCTTGCTCTAAATGCCCCAAACCGTGGTATACTGTTTCAAAACAAGACTGGATTTTCTCCACTATTGAGAGTGAAAAAATGACGGTAATGCCCAGCAGCCTGGTCTTTTGTTCCCGAGTCTTTTGTTACTTGACTCAGTTCCCTTTGTCCCAGTTCAGAGACCCCGGCCATATATATAAAGCATACGTGTCCGGTACCGGAATCCCGGCAGGAAGTGGTTAAAACCTTTGATGATCCCCAACCAGCTCATCTTCAACTCTATAGAGGTTTGTTGGAATCTTTTTGGGAGAGTAAACTGACTGTCTTACTTGGGATTAGGTATACCATAAACAGAGTCCAACTGTTAACGTGCACTGTTTACTGTACAGGTATGCGGTTGCTGGTAAATCACCTGTGGAAGTTAAGGCTTTTATAATGCACTAAGAGATTGTAACCGGTAATGACCTAATAAATGCTTGCAGTTTGAAATTACCTGAAAATACATTTGCATTTTCGCAGAAGGTGTTTCTCTATTTCTGTATGTAGAAGGTGTGTTTAAAGCAAACCAGTTATCTTATGGTACTCATCCTATATCTGTAATTTACTTATCCTTTGGAGTTTAAAAAATAGAAGTCCCATAGTGAGATTAAGTAAGAAGTTGTTAGCAGTGGAAGCAGTTTTTGCTATTTTCTTAGATTAAATGTATAGACATGTACATTTGTGAAAGCTGTCACTGAGTTGTAGGGTCACAATTGAATGGCCTTGAGATAATGCACAGTGCAAACCTCATGCCATTTGATTTGTAATTCACCTTACATTGTAAAATTGTTGGTACGCCTGCCACATTCATTTAGAAGGTGTTTCCTTGGTAATGTTTGAAAACAGGATGGACGTCCTGTCAGAGCTTTTATGCCCACCAATAATAAACAGTATTCTCAATGGTTAGTGCATATTATTATGAATATTAATGTTTATATTTGTACTAACAAATTTGTAGATAGGATGAAAATTTCACCTGAGAATTTGGCATCATGGATATAGTATTTTGTATAAATTGCAACATTGCTTAAAATGTATATTTTGGAAGGTTATTTAGTACTGTATTGCGCTGTGAAGATAAGAACATTAAAGTGAGTGATTTGAAGATGTTTCAGGTGTATTTTACATGTACATGTTTCGATGAGCCCTCAGCTACATGTTGGTCATTGAGGATGAAGAATATACATCAATGCAGAAAAATGACCCTGCTTTTTGAGTTGCTCTTTGGTACAATGTATTAATTTCACAGCATTTCTAAGATTCACAATATCTCATTCATAGGTGCTGATGTGCTAGTGTAAACAAGCACAAGGGCATAAATTGGGGGGGGTTATATCCCCCAGCTTTTTGAGGGGGGGATGGGCTATCCCCCCACTTGTTTGTGGTGAGCCAAAAATTGATATGAATTGTGAAGAATTTTTCAGACCTCTGACGACGAAATTGCATTCAGTGTCACTCAAAAAGGAAAAATCATTTTGAAATGCCATTAATATGCCACTCTAAATGCATAGTATGGATGTACATCAATACTTCATACTTGTGCCCGAATTCTGGTATGGAGTCCTGTTACTTCTTTGCATTCCCACAAAAGGGTCAATGTGTCATTCAGTTATCAAGCTCCCTGTTATTATCAATAACAGAGTTTCAATAAGATGAAGTGTAAATTGTAGATTGTATTATAAGCTTCAATCTCCACTTTCATTTTTTCCACAGCATCTTTTTATTTGGATTATAAATCCACGTTAGCCTAACTGCCCTTCTGCTTTCATTCAGTTTGTTTAATGAAGTCACTTTTTACTTGATTTTGATTTTCTCGACTAAGACTTGACTTTGGCTTTTAAGGACTGAAAAGGTTGGACTCGGACATATAGGACAAAGCTAAAAAACTGTTGGCAATAATTTGTGATGCCATTTGGTCAGAGAGACTTACAGAATATATGCTGACTGATATTTTCGATGGGAGAAATATCTCCCCCCCAGCCCAAAAAACGGCGCCACCAAGCCTGCTCTGAACATTGAATTTGTAGGGAGAAGGGAAATGGTAGATAATAGGTGAGAAATCAGAACAATTGGATTGCCAATATCACATATTCTGGTATTATTGCTGTTGATAAGCTTTCTGAATCAGGCCAGCAAAATGCCTTATGACAATACAAAAAATTACGCTATGCTTGAATAATGCCCACCATCTAATTGGTAGATCATTATCACACATGCTGTTGAATTATTTGGCCGCATGGCACACTCGAGCAGTAAATACAAGTTCCAGTCTACCAGCAACTGAAAATTACATTGGTCAATCACAAGGCACATATGAATTCATGGGTGATACAGACTTCCCCCTCAAACTTGACGTGAATCCAACATTTGCACAAGCCACAGTTCATTTGCTTTCATTGTCCCTTTGAACAAAACTTAACTTTCACATAAAGCTAAAAGACAAAAATAGATAACACCAAAACAAGAATTTTTGAAAGAAACCAATGAACATAACATGGATATATATACTGAAATTGGAAGCTATGAAGTATTTGAGGGTTAAATATGAGAACTAAATATTTTCTTATATAGTCATATACTAAAACATCATCAAAAATGTTGCTATTGAGGTCCATCAGATTATACATTCAAAAACAGGAAAATCATTTTGTTTCATTAAATGTACATATGGACTGTGGGGCTAATATTTACCCTTCATCATATGAGGTATGCCCTACTCCTACTTTTAATGAACATCGTTCTTTAAACATCTAGAGCTTCACAGTTACTTGTAGTCCCCCATGTGTCTGTGCAATGACTGTTAACAATGAAGAAAATGAAAGAAACGAAGTGGTAGAAACTGGATTCTTGTACACATTTAAAGCAACCTACGACAGCAAAATAATGGTCCAGGCCAAGCTTATTCACCTTTGGAGGTCTCTGCCCTCAGTGGGTCTTTTTCATTTCTGCATAATGCACAAACAGCATTTAAATGAATAACATTTTGAGAGTCTGAAATGAAAATAGCACATTTTACAAATATACCAGCCTAAAACACTTAACCACTACATGCCAGGTGGAGTTAGTGGTATGAATCACCTGCTTTTTAATGTTTTTCCTTTTTTCAAAATTCTTCAAAAATTCATATCTTCTTTTACTGGATTCGTACACCGAAACAAATAACTGTCTCGTGGTAAGTCTTATCTGACAGGCAAACCCTCATTGACGTGTATTGAAGCCACGCCGGCAGCCCAGTAAAGAGCCCCCATTGTGCGGTGTTGCGTTATTTCCTCTCTGCTACGCTGGATGGCCTTGTTACTATGCAGAACAATTGATGGTCAAGCAGTGCGTGGGCTGTGAGGGTGAACCAGGCCATTCATCGCGCACATCGGCATAATGCATGCTGCACAGTAGTATTGTCTGTACTAATGCGGCCAGATTCCAAGGAGCACGCAGCTGTATTGTATAGCTCATCGCTGGAGTGTTGGAGTGCTTTGTCCCCACTGATAATCCACTTGTGCCGGCAGCGGCAAACAATGCTACTGTTTAAACAAATAGCGGATTACCTCTGCTAATGCCAGCATTCAGCGCGGACAGCATATGAATCTTGATTGGTAAGTCCCAGCAGCTTGGATAACCAGCAATGTCTTGATGAGCTTGATATGAATGCATTGAGGTGCCTGGAGCATGTCCAATGGTAAGACTTAATCATTGTGACATCATCTGTCTACTCAGCTACCAACTCCAAGCGTCGTCATCAGGCATGCAATGTTGGCTTCCCCAGTTTGACCACGCCCAGTGGCTCCTACCCTCCTTCACCCCAACCAATGACTTCATTGAAGCTGGTCTGACTGCAAAGCTATTACATTTAAGTCGCTGGGCATTTCTTGGATCTGTTTTTACCTCCATGACTCAAGCAAACAGCCCTGTGCAAGACTGTTTTAGGGTAGAGATACCTCTACCCTAAATAATCTGGCTTGAGTGTTGGTGATATTAGATTTTAACTTGATCAAATGATGCCATGGATACTTCATGATATAAAAATAGCATTCATGTTTACTTTCTTGCTGAGTATTAACCAGCCTTGAGGCTATCTTGGTCTTGGTAACTCCTCATGTTTGGAATAGCCAGACCTGTTCTGTAGCATCACTGCATATTTGAAGAGCTGCATGGATGGCATCTCCATCCTTCTTGCTAGCTAGGCACAGTCCCGTACTTGGATGATACAGCCGCTGTAAACATTCACAATCAAAGTGACACATTAGAAACAGCTTGTGAAGCATAACAACCTTTGTGACATGATAGTCAACAAATCATTCCATGACATCATGCTGGAAGGGGTGGGGAGGGGACAAGCTGGAAAACAAAGCCACTCCCTCCCCCCCCAAAAAAAAATAGGCTACCTGACAAATTGGGCTCCAAAATGACATGATGTTTGATGTTCACTATATGGAGTTAGTGATGGGGGTATGCAACATTTTCAAGGGGACTTTAATTCATATGTAAGCATTAGCAATATTAAAACTAGAGTTTATATTACTCTGAGGTTGCAAGCAATGTAAGAGTAATTTCTAGAGGCAACAGATGAAATGTTCCATTACACCTGTCACATGACTTGATTTTATACAATGCCTGAATAAAACAAGGAGTAATCTCATTCTGAATCTTGACAAATGCTCTCATTGTTTGACAGGAAAGATTTTTTTCTTTACAGCATCAGCATCACTCAGGAGTTAGACACTTTTCACATGTGACTGAAACTAGGAATAACTTTAATAATACATGTAATTGGTATCATATATCATTTTGTATGAAGAGCCCATCACCATGTTGGGTAGTGGAATGTTCTATTAACCAGTCACTATTTGATATATTGAATAATTCAGTGGCAAATTATTGTCAAACGATCAATCAGATGGAAATGATTTATTCAGGTAATGTATAAATTAGAAACACGTGTACCGCCCTGAGGTTTTAAGCACATAAACACACTGGAATTAGAAAATTGAGGTCTTGACTAAAGACGAAGGGCAATTCTTGCAATTTTTATCCCTCTACTCAAGAAGTCTGATATCTTTGTACTACTCCTGACCAATGTGAACAACGTGATGGTGGCATTTACATGTATTACATGACTGTGAAACAATTTGCTAAAAAAGTTTAACAGCAACCATTTCAAATAATTAACTGATTCTATTAACTGATGCAAATCACATTATTCCAGCAGAACTCACAATGACATCATTCACAACCACAGTTTATTGCAAAGAATCGAGGAGGGAATTTCATACCAATCAGTTGTATGTGAACATGCCTTGCCATCAAATGTACACAAGCATATTTTCTGTTTATGTGCCTGCTGCTTAATACACTTCCATTCAATTAGCACCATTACACATGCTTTAAATGAGTGCAAAATAATACAAATCCTGTCTTCATACTAACCTGACCATAAAATCTCCATTCCTGTGCTCCCCTTGATGCATGACATTTCATAAGTCTTGGCAGAGCAGCACTATTACTCTCTGGTTGATCAAGGCAAAGAAAATCAGCAAGACGTAACTCATGTGACTCACTCTCATACCACAGCTGCAACATACGAACAATTAACATGATACTGTTCAAATGCTTGTCACAGAAGCTGAAAGAACAAAAACACTTCACTGTTCCATTAGAAATCCAACACTACATGGAAGGAAACTTAAAATGTATGTGAATAAACCAAATATAAAACGAATACTTGAATCTGTATACATATTTTTGGCACCATGTAAAATATCTCTTTTAAAGACATATGGTTCTGACATGAACTGTGGAGGTCTTCAGAAGACTGCTAGGCAGTACGCTCTGTCTGTGATGGGCAGAGCACACTGTCCAAAATGTTGAGTTCCCTCCGGTTCTCCGGGTTTGTAAAGAAACATTACACACGGTGCTACTGTAACCCTACTACTTAACATGTTACCTTTACCATGAAACACCTCAATTCTCATACATATACATGTATATACCAAATCTTGATTCCATCAAATGTCTGAAAATGTAATAAGTAGCCCAAACCATTTTCATCTTTATTAAAAGTGCATTTATACATAATTCAAATATAAATGAACAATTGTTATCATTATTTGAGTTAACAACAAACACCTACATATACAAATTGTGAGGAAGAACATCTGAATAATTAGTTCATACACTGAATTCATAGATAAATCCGGTGACTTTGGTAATGCAATAGACAGTCATTTATAGTAGCCCATCAATGGTGGTAAGCAATGTGATAATTACTGTACAGTGACAGTGGCACCATACAAAACCCAACACTGCTATTCACCATTAAAGGGATCCTTGGGATTCATCTATAACAGAGGATAAAATGCTTCAGGACCTACATGTACCATCACCTTTGCCAAACATCTATATATTTGTACAAACCTGATTCTTCTGTCTTCTACTGCATTTCTGTAACAACAGTTTAGATCCCTTCTGAATGGCTGAATCCTCAGCTACCATGCATAATGACAGGGATGGCTGATACAGCTGAAAAAAAACAAAGAGACAATAACATTTTACTGTGGTGTACCTCCCATTTGACAAACCATGTACTAAATGCTCATCAAAGTTGGCATTTCATTTCGAGCTGATGCTGTCTGTCAAGCATTCATTTGTGTGAATTAAAAGTGTAGCCATGGCATCACTATCAAAATATCCCTCTTAACCACTTCCTGCCGGGGATTCCGGATCGGGACACGTATGCTTCATGTGCATGGCCGGGGTCTCTGAACTCAGACAAAGTGAACAGGGCCTTGTAACAAAAGACCGTACTCGGAACAAAAGACCAGGCTGCTGGGCATTACCGACATTTTTTCACTCTGAAAAGTGGAGATAATCCAGCCTTGTTTTGAAACAGTATACCAGGTTTGGGGCATTTAGAGTGAGCGGATTACCACCAGGGACAAAAGTGCTCCACCACCACAGCAATGAGCCACACAGCACCACTGCAAGCTAATCTGGCCCCTATTGAAAAGAGGTCAGCAGCACACTGAGCCAAATTCGTGAACAAAAGAAACTTATATAACACTGCACAATCTGGGCTCTTTTTCCAAGGCTGCAGGCCTGGCTGAAATACTCGGGCATCAATAGATTTTGTCTTTCAGGATAGAGGGGCCACCAGACAGTCCTTCACGTGTTTGTAAGTGTCCAGTAAATGATGATAGGAATTTTTAAACAATTTTGAAACCAGAAAAAAAATGATAATTATCCCGGAACATTGATAACTGCCCCCGGCAGCAAGTGGTTAATAGCAAATTAACATTTCACCATTTTCAGCTTAAAGCTCCAGATATTAACTCTTCCTTTAAGGGTGACATGCACTGGACAACAGCTATTCAGCACCTAGTTAATTCCAAGTTTGGTCAACAAATGGTAAACACTGAAATATGGCCTAGGCCCACAAGAATTATCCGGTTACTCAATGGTCATTAAATGGGTTAGATTTCTATATTCTATTAATTGAAAACGTCTGTGCAAATATAAAGGCTTTGTTTCAGAAAACCTTTGAAAAGTGGGGTGAAGACCAAGCTGGGCTTACATGTACATACGCACGTTGATGATATTCCTTCTGATAATATACGTACAACCTGACAGACTGATCCATTAAGTCTAGCCCGATGTGCAAGTAGGAAATTACTATGTGATTCTCTCAAATGCCATACTCCATGTGCCAGCCACGCCTATCATATGCACATGCATGCTTGTCAGACTTTGTGCATACGCCAGACATAAATCACTGCAGTGACCAGGTGACTGGTCAAAACGCCATGAGGTAGGGCTCAATGAATCAATCCATTGTTGATTAAACCTTATGTAAAAAATTGCATGCAATAAAAAAAGAGTGCAAGTACATGTAGTTGATCAACTGCCATGATGTCAAAAACAGACCTACCAGTCCTTTCCTTATTGCTAGAGGTGGTCTCTTCTTCTCATGAAGTGCTTGATGGGCGACAGCATTGCTGGATTCATTAGGAAACCTCATTTCAGGGTAAACATTGTCTAGATACCACTTGAAGGATTTGCACTGAAGCTGTTGTCTCAGTTGAACTCTGCCAGATACATCACCATATTCCATGCCTCGGGCATGACTATTTGTTTGAAAAAAGAATTCCTACATGTATTTCAAAAAAGAGAAATAAAATGGAGGGATATTAGTACAGAATGGACATGATGGAGGTGTATTACATGAAAGTAAAGCCTTGTGTGCTCAACACAAATATGTAGCTTTTTTATGCACGCAGATTAATATTCCTTTTAATGTCCTGCTATTTGAAATAAGAGAGCAAGAAAGATGCCAACAGTGAGGAAGATTTACAACTGAGAACTCTACTCATATCATTAAACTAACAGAAAGACACAGGCACTCTTCTGAGCATGTACATGTATGTTTCCTTCCTCAACTTACTTTTGCTTATTGTTCAGGGTCACACACTGAACGCCAGTGAGTATTTGTGATGGAAATGAGACGTCTGATGGATTATTTTGTTAGGCAATGATCAAAAACACTACTTTCATGAGAAAGTCAATCAAAATCAAAAATTCATATTTGTCCAACTTTTTTTTCCGCAACTGTACCTCACTATTTCATGAAACACCTCTCAAGCCATAATATATGTGTTTTGTGTGCACAGTAATGAAAATCTCCTTATGGAGAATGGTATGAACCATGTGTCAGTGAACAGTACATGTACATGTAGAGTGAAATTTCCATTCCTGGAATACAAACTCATTGGATGATTGAGACATATAAGAGGTTGCATTACATGTAGCAGGGCTGAATGCAAGCATTTTCCAGAGTCTTCTGTACTGTTCAAATGTGTATTTTTGTATTGGTATTTACATTTCTGTGTACAAGTGCATGTAATTTGTAGGTGTACATGATTTGTGGCTACATTTTTCACTGCGCTTTTGAAGCAAACAAAGAATCTAACCTGAACTAGGCATATGCAACAATAGTGATTGTCACGTGAGGTTTTCAGTACACAAGATGAAGATCACAATTTCCCATGAAATTGGTTTAAAAACCAGTTGGTGGCTAAATACCATCCGCATGTTCAATACCATCCACATGTTCAAAACCATCCACATGTTCAATACCATCCACATGTTCAATACCATCCACATGTTCAATACCATCCACATGATGTACAGTACTTCCAACCATGAACAGGTAATCTACACATGAACTAGAAACTGAAACATGTATTGCCATTCAAGATGTCAGCAACAATTCACATTGTAAGTCTGAAGAGTACCTCAAACAAACATTCAATACCGGTAGATACAACTTAAAAGAATACAAAACAGCGAAGCTGTTCAATCATGGGCATCGCCAGGTTTTTTTCAGGGGAGGGGGCTAAACCACTTTTTTCCCGGGGGAGGGGGAGGAGAGAGGGAGCACTCATCAGCTGAGAACTGATAAACACTTGACAGTGGAAGGGATCAATTTGGAGGGTTTTTCATTTTTTTTCACCAATTCCCTTTTTTTCACAAGGGGGTAAGCACCCCATTGCCGTCTTCTTCTACTATCATGATGTCCATGTATTCAATGGCTTTAAAACTGTGATATCAAAGTGACAAAATCCAGTAACAAGATATTAAACGAATAAAAAGGTTACCTTATAATCGTCCATCCAAACGTGTGCCACTCGCAGGGCATTGTACAGTGTTGTATCTTTGCCAGATGGGGAACCATATGGCCGTCGTTTTCGAAAAACATGGCCCACCCTTGAACATGGTACAATCTCTAATGTACCTCCACACTGCCATATCTGCATGCCATAAAACAAAGACAAATCATCAGACAGGAATTCAGGTAATACAGTACGTCTGCACTGGTTTTCCAACATTTGAATAAATATGAATGTTATTACAGCAACAGCAACTGTATCAGCTAAGATAATCCTTGTGATAACTAATAAGACAATACGCACAGGTTCTAGGACATTTGTTGGTAAATGTACATATACTTGTATGTGCATATTTCAAAGGTCAGAACCTTACAGACTTGGTCAAGTATATGATTTGGATAAAATTTTGACCTAAATGACTTAACAATCAGTGGAAAAGGGTAATAAGCTGTATTAAAACAAGAATGATGAGTTAACGAACCCAAATGAGTCATCCAGCCCATGCATAAACTTACAGCCCAAGGCAATGATCTGTGATCACAAAGCCCTCTCCATTGAGAAACATCTCCCTTATTTCAACAATAACCTTTAACCTCCAACCTACAAAGTCTCAAATCAACAGACTTCTGAAGGCAACAAGACCAACTAAAATATAGTTTGAAGTTGATATGCTATGGCTTTTTTTACTTTATGGCTGGAAAACTTACAACCTACATGTACGTGTACTATAGTACACGTAAATGTACTATGGTACATGTACTATGGTACATGTACGTGTACTGTGGTACATGTAATACTGACACTGATAACTGTAGGGTCAGTGTACCTGTAATTTGTACATACCGTACATGTACATGCATGTTGAATGACAATTATTAAGAGAAGGCAATTTTGTTATGGTAACAATTTTTGTCACAACTACATGTAAGTCCTGAATTTCTTAACAAATAAAGTTTCTCCCATTTCCCCTTTAAGAGGACAAAGCAGGAACAACGTGTCTCTCTGACTTTGCTGTCAAGGCATTACAACTTGTTCTCAACAGTACAAGTATTTCACAGCTACTCTAGTACAGGGCAGTTGATCATTGAGTAAACTTTACATACAAATGCGTCCTACACTTTGGGTTGCTCAGTTGATAAAAAATGGCAGAGACAAATCCTACATTACATTATACAGCAACATTGCTGCAACAGCGCTCTCTGTTATATCAGAATAAGATGTTTTACAGATTGGGCAAAAGTCCACTTTCATTATAGTCAAACTGCAAGGTGTGTCTTGTCAAATTCATACAGTTCACCAAAGAATAAATGCTTGCATGACATATTTTTCAGTATAAAATTCATGCCAGAGAGCTGAGATGATACACATATCTGCAAAGTAATCAGGTACTCCTGCGCGCCAGTTCAGGTCCCATTCTGACAAGCTTGTCAATGTTTTTTGTCTCAAGCTTTCAGATTGCATCCAGTATACAATGCTTGTGAAGTTACATTTATGAATACCTCGGACAGTTTTTCAATTCCTATTGGTCGAAGTAAGTCACATGACCATGTACATGTATTAATATTTGATAATGCCCATTGAGAAGTGATAATGCCTGGTCTTAAAATGCATGTTTTAGACTGGCCAAGCACATATTTATTCCCTTATTTATGAAAGGCAAAACCCATTTTCTGCATTATGATGATTTCAGTGGCATGCAAAACAGGACGCAAAACATAAAAGTTACCTGAAATATCTTGAAAACTTACTTGTAGTTTGTGAGGCAAAATCTCTTCTATCAACTCTAGTTAACATTTAATTGAGTTTTAAACTTACTGCCCTCATACATGTAGATACAATGTGCACAAAGAAATGAAATTTGTATGGGACCTTTTTGTACCAGCTTCAGATGCTGAAGTGTTCTTACCCGAAATGATATTTCCAAGTTTTCTCCACCCCATATATCCATACCTTCATCGTATGCACCAAGCTTATGAAAGTATGCACTGTTGATGGCAAACAGACCTCCTGCCATGGTAGGTGAGCTGACAAATAAAAGTATGTATTTAGCGATAGGAGAATAATGATTTGGATCATTCAAAAGGTCAATTACACTTAAAATCAGAAAAGAAGACTGATCTACCGGTATGTTTCTGAATCAAAAAAACTCTCTTAAAGCCTCATAAACAAAAGATATGCACATATGAGGTACAAGACAATTGATGACCACTGTAAGAGTCCTTCGCAGCTCTTTCTTAATCATTGAGGGGAGAATTACATGTACACGTAGTGATGAACCTACAGTGTATATTGTGAGCACTTCTGATCCCTGATTTTCTTCAATCCATACAAATACATGTGTATGAACAAAAGAATTCTTTAGTTCTTTAGCTAAGCATTCTAATCACTAAGATATCTTGCACAAAGATCAAGCTGTGGCATGATCATGTGCAATACCATGGATTGTCACAGTTACACATGATGATGATTACACTGCACTGTTTTGTCACATACAGGAGACAGACAAAAGTTGTCAAAAGGGTAACTTGTTACAGTGTCCAAACAAAGTTGCACATGTTCAAGTATGAAAGTTATCATGGTTGCACATGAGGTACACATAACCACTTTCCACCAGGGTGCCTGGTACCAGAGACCTTAGGTTTGTATGCAAATTCAGGGTGCCCGAAATGGGACAAATGAGCTGGGCCTTGTAACAAAAGACAGTACTCTGAACAAAAGACCGGGCTGCTGGGAATTGCTAACATTCTTTAAGTTTTCAACAGTGCAGGTAATCCATCACTGTTTTGATCAGTGTACCACTATCTGTGGCATTCAGTGCAAGCAGATTACGACCTGGGACAGAAGTGGTCCAGTGCTGAGCGATACCATACCACTGCATGTTAATCTGGCCACATTTGAAAAGACACCAGCAGAGCACTGGGCCAGTTTCAGGAACAAAAAAAAATTATGCAACACCACACAATCTGGGCTCTCTTCACAATGCAGAAGGCCTGGCTGAAATACTCAGGCTTCAAAAGATGTTGCCTGTCAGATTAGAGTAGCCACCAGACAGTCATTCATGTAGGTGTAAACATCCAGTAAATGAAGTTATGAATTTTTGAAGAATTTTGGAAGCGGAAAATCTTTAAAATCCCCTGGGAACTTGTCACACAACTTCAATTTAAACCCGGCAGCATATGGATAAGTTGTTACACTATAAGAAGTTATGGCCTTTCCATAAGAGCAGGTTGGAAAAATATGTTAAACAGGAGAACACAAAATGCCAAAACACCACAAATAAAGAGAAGTATAGCCACAGACAAGGTTCCAAAAAGCAATAGTGTGTTTTGTACATTAATTGATATCTCCTAGTGTTTGAAAACAAGTTAAATTGATGGCCGACAGCAAATTCTGGAAGAAAAGTTACACAGAAAAGCAGACTAAATATAAACTGTGTAAGAATTTAAACAAAGAAACTAATGCCTACATGTACATACATGTATGCAGGGTTATAATCTCACCTGAATGGCTTGACAAAATCTTCTTTTCCAGTGAGTTGACTACTGTTAAGATTTTCCCACTTGAAATGAAGTCCCCAATTGAACCCACCTTTGACCATAGGCGATGTTTGGTAATCAAAGGTATCTGAATTGATGATATCAATGATGGGGCATACAACAGTATGGCTATTATGTTGGATACGTTCCAGAAGAGGCTCTAACCACTTCTCATTCACCTTGGAACAAATGAAAACAATTATTGTTATGAATTGAGGATTTGTTTTTAGCGCAGTAAACATAAACCATATTGTACAAACTATTCCTTTTCAGTCTCTTTAAGCATACTTTTTTCATCCCTGAGTCGACAGACAGAAATCACAACTGATAAACTTGTAAGAACAAAGCCCAAACTTTCATTTCTAAAAACTGATCTTGAAACCAATTTCACTCAATATTTTTCTAATATGAATCAAACTCAAACCCTTCCATGTACGGATTTTACACATAAGTTGCACAAGAAGAAGTGGTGCACTGCGGGAAACAAGGATTGAGAACACTGCTGTTGTTGTTACAGGCCCAACTTTGTCAACAGAGTTGCCCAACTTTGATGGAAAAGAAACACTTTATGACCAAACAATTCAGCCAAGCAACAGATGTCATGCAACTGTATTGAAAAGAAACTGTGATACATCACGATAAAATGAGCATACACTCAAACTCTGATATTTAGGGTTGAAAATCAGATGGTGAAAAGGTGGCTGATTGGGGGTTTTGTAATAGTTGGTGTATTAAACCTTCTAATTCCAAATGTTGAATGCAATCAAGACATTTGAAAATACAACATTTGGACAAATTTCGACAATTAGCATTATTCGTGACAATGTCTGAGACAAAGATGAGAAGTGCACTGGTTTTTGTTACACTGGTACCCCCCTGCACTGTACATGTATCGTATGTTCATGTACACAAACATATATACTTAATTTAGGTACAGTGTATTATTTGAAAGCTGAAGATGTGGCCTCTTTATTTAGAGTATTATGGTACATGTATCACTAGACCTTTCATTCATAAAAATACAAGGTCGTTATCTGGTTATTTTCAAATGTAAACAGACAGCCTTACAATGTATACTGTAGATTGAAGAGATGTGCAGGTATACATGTACATGTATGCTTGAGCGTATTGTTGACCTTGCAAGAAACTCACTGTCTAAAAATGGCTGCAACGGTGTGACAATTCTTTTTATTTTGTGCAAATTACATGCCGATATATATATACATTCCATGAATTACGTTTTATTTAGATGGAATTATTGCTTTCTACATTGCATGGAAATTTGGTGAACACATACATGTACAGTGTATGAGAATACAGCCCTTGCTACTGTGAGACTGAAGCTACATGTACATGTACCTTACATTCCAGTTTTCCCTTTGGGTCTATCTGCAAGCTGTATTGCATTGAGGGATGCTTTTACACTGTTATGTTTACCATTGGAAAGCTCTTTCTGCCATTATGTCAGACCCACATAAAATAGTGATTCAGCTCATTTCTTGGAACTGTTATTTGACTGCAGTGCTCTATATTCAATTCTGCTGGATAACTAAAGTTGGGCATACCCAAATGTGTTGACAAAGTTGGGAATGCCCCAAGTAGACACTGAACAAAATCAGGAAACTGTATAAAAGTTGAAACGTGTAAAGAGACAAATTTATGTTCACCAAGTGCTCTGTGCCATATCCCGGCAATGAATGTTTACCATATTTACTTGCAACTCATTATTATCCATGGGCTCTTTAAGTATAGCAGGTCAACAGAGCACCATTCTCCTATGGGTACAAGGTATTCTCACTCCATAGTTAACAAGATGAATGGATATATACCTCACAATGACTGTCCAAAAACATGAGCACCTCCCCTGTAGCTTGTCTAGCAGCAATGGTTCTTGCTCGGATTAAACCCTCCCTCTGGCTATTATGTAGTACTCTCACCACTGGAGACAGATGTTCATGTACGTATGTGTCAAGTTCGGCTTTCAAATGATCTATATGTGAATTGAAAAGTAAGGATTCAGCCATGTAAAGTAACTGCTTGATCAACACAATGCACAGAGAAACTTGTTTAGGAAAGTACAGGTACATGTACACTGTGTAAATTAAGAAATGAACGGCGAACAGCATCATTTCATGAGTATGTACAATAGGATACTGCTATCAACATCAAAAAGACAGTTTTAAATGAGGTTCATATACATGTTTGTATTCAATTTGCAGCATACAAGTACACTGTACATGTCCACATGTGGGTACATGATTTTCATTTGCTTGAGGCCCTCTCAATGTTATGAGGTGTAATGATCAAGTATGTACAAATAAAAAAATGCTGTTTCTCCTCAAATCGCTGAGGGTTTGAAAGCAAAGAGTTTTGAAATTTACAATGATACATATACATGTACATGTAAAAGATTCAAATTACAGTATGATGCCTGTAAGACAACATGGCTTTTGACAGATTTGGTCTATGCCAAGACAACTGCTAAGATGGTACAGTAGCTGGCACCATTTTTCCAAACATATCAAAATTACAAAATAAAAACTTTAACAAAAGGGAATCAGACCTGATCCTGAGATGCGCATCTGACAGCGTAATCAGTTTAGTGGAAATAAAGGTCAACATTCAACCAAACTTACACATCATCCATTAAAACTCCTGTTCATAATCTGAAATCTGCAGAACCATACCTCTGTGATCTTAAGGATCACTTTTGCTTTGTCAGGTCTTAAGTGACTGATTTCCTGACATATACATGTGCATGCAAACTTCATACCATACTTACCAAAATCACTATAATCATCAAGTAGGATAATTTCTTGAATTAATTCTCTTGGAGTTCTATCCAAAACACTATATACAGTGCGCAGTAGTGTAGACCAGGCTTCATTATAAAAACAAATGAGTATGCTGACTTTGGGAAGCTCTCTGGGATGCACTTTGTATTTACATCTGTACAACGGTAGAATAAACATATGAAAAGAAAATCGTACTCAACAAAATGACAAATTTGCACACTAAAATATATGTTTTAAAATCTTCAGTTTGCAACCATCTTGGTTGACCTGGTACACTAGACAACTGACTGCAATAGCACCTTCATGTTTCAGTACAAACTGTGAGTTCCCTTCTCCTTTTTAACACCCCTCCAGCTAATGTTTCTTCTGAGAAAAGGTAAATAGTTTCAACAGTGCAAGTGAACACTTGGCAGCAGAACGTGAATCCAGGCATAAGCCCTTGAGAACCTGTCCAATTCAGAGACAACAATCATCTTTCACCCACTCGGCAACTTCTCTTGGTAGCTTGTCAGACTTCTTGCTTTATTCTGCCTTACAGGTGAGAGGTCCCTGGTCCTGTTCAACTGTAGATGTACATACATGTACTGGTATAGTTCTTCACTACAGTACATGTACATGTAGTACATCCTCAGTTCTGTACATGGGCATGGTGGTTCACCAAACAGATTGCACCAGTTTTTTTCTTCACCAGCAAAGGTTACTCGTAAACCTCTTCCATGTTTTAATTACTTTTATACAATTTCAGATGACTTTCATAAACATAAAAAATCCAGGCAGGGCATCAAGATTCCTCTCATTATAGCAGGATTATAAATGTACACGCACATACAGTACAGTGTACATATACCCACTACTACGTAAAATTGACTCTTGACACTTTTTAACAAGGGCGAGACCAAGAGGCCTTCCTGATCATACAGCCATCATATGCGATGATTTGTGTAGATACATTTATATATACATTTAATACTTACAAGGGATTGCGTGAGTCAGGTACACTACGGTGATATCCTATCCTAGTGCTGACTAATTCATTGAAGGCATGTCGTCTGAAACCTTCATCTCTCAACCTTCTGTCTTCAGCTGTTTTTATCATTCCTAGTTCACTGTCACTTTTCCCAACACCCATCGCCTGTTGGTCAATGCCATTGTGTTTAACTGCTTCATGTCCGAACTGGACATTCTGATTGTGATTTCTATCATCCAAATCAAATAAAACATTATTTTTCAGATCATCATTCCCATCCAGAAGCACAGCTTTTCCTTGATGGTTTGCTTTCCAAGGCTTGACAAACTGTTGAGGATGGTTTACAACTAAACGGTGTGGATGTCTCTTATACATGTATTGCTGATCATTGACTGGCTGCCGCTCCTGACGACTTACGTCAGCTAAAATCATGTAGATGATAATAGCCCATGTAATTGAAGACACAATGATGCCATAACAGAAGCATCGAAAACGAAGACCAGCCATTGTCTGGAAGGCTACTGCCTGCAGAGGAACGCGCACAACTTACATGTAACTGGCAAACATTTCCATGGGCCTGAAGTACAAATGTGCTGCAGATAAGAAAAGAAACAACACTTTGAACAGTCAGAACAAGACAGCACAGAAACTTCAATTTATTATGCGTAGAAATAAATATTAATTTTAAAAAAAGAAAAATCTTTCAACCTTAGAGGAAAACTTCAACATTTCTCTTCATTTTACAACCAAAGAAAAGTGATTAACATAGTTTACAGAGTGTGGAATCAAATTATGGGGAAATAAATCCCAGCTTTTATACTTCTGAAAGTTTGTGATTTTGCATACTGAACCACATATGGCCAAAGACAGGTGATCATATTTCTTCAGGGCTTAAGTGGTAAAATATAGAATGTCTATCAAGATCATGTAGTCTCCACTTTAACAGGGATCTGCCGCTGCCGGTCAGCGCCGGTCGGGCCCGACCGGCACACAGAATTACCGACCGCCACAATCTGCCAAATCAACTTTTCCGACCGGCACGTATTCCCATTAAGAACCCAAATAAAATAGCATCTTGGTCGAGGGATCGATCA